GGTCCCCATCTTCATGGGACAAAAAACAAAACAAAGCAAAACAACAAAACAAAACAAAACAACCCAGCCGCCTGCTTTCTCCAGACAGGACCCTCCCAGGACCGAGTGCACGTCCGTCCGCCGGAGCGCACCCAGGACAGCGCCCCGCTCCGGTCTGGCCGCCCGCACCGCCCCCGGCGCGTCCGGGGCCTGAGCGGCGGGAGCTTCCCAGGCGACGCCGAGGGCTGCGGGGCGAGAGCCAGCCCCGGGCCGGCGGCGCCCCCCGGCGACCCCGCAGCGCAGGCGGAACAGACGCGCCAGCCTCCGCTTTCGGGGAGAAGGAGCCGGGCCGGGAGGCAAGGGCGTGGCCGAGGCGGAGCCCGGCCGGAGGCCAGGTCTTCCCGAGCGTGGGCCAGGGCCCCTTCCGAGTGGGTGTCGGTGCCAGGGTCCCCCAAGGACGGGTGGGCGGCGGCAGGAGCGCGGGCCGAGGCGGCTCTCACCCCGGGCTCGCTCGACCCCGGACCTGGGCCAGGGCGCGGGGCCCGGGCCGCGAGGCGCAAGGAAACGCGCGCGGGAGGCCGCGGCGGCGCAGACCCTGCCCGCCCCTCTCCGGCGCGGCCTGCCGCACTCACCCACGCCCAGCCCGGGAGCCGCAGGCGGGCAGCGAGGCCGGCGGTCCGCGGGCGGCGGCGGCGCGGCCGGAAGTGCGCCGCGGCTGGTCCGCGCGGCCGCTCTAGGACGCGCCGGAGGTCCGCACTCGGTGGCTCGAGACGCCTCCCTTGCCCCCGGGGGTCCTGCACCAGGGCGCTGGGCAGGATGGTGGCGGGAACCCGTGAGGGTCAGGGCGCCACGGGTGAAAACGTCTCCTGGTTTTTGTTTGTTTGTTTGTTTGTTTGGTGTGTGTGTGTGTGTGTGTGTGTGTGTTTTCTGTGCCATCATTTCAAACAAGAGCGTTGTCCCCGAAGCTTTGCTCTTGCACTTGTGTAATTTCTCTTCTTTCGTTGGGACGGATCTTTCAGCCACCAAACCTAGAAGGCGCCTGAGGAGGAAAAAGCAAAGTGCTTTGAGTCCGGGTTCTCTTACCTATAACTCATGCACCTCCAGAAGCAACAAAACCTGGATTATTTTAAAGAAAATTCCAGATACAATATCATTTTATCCATAAATAGTTCTGTAGCTATTTAAGGATCCTTTTTTTTTTTTTTTAATTTCATCACTACACAATGATGGTAGACTTAAAAAATACCACTATAATATTATCATAAAAATACAATAATTTAATAGCATCAAATCCAGTCACTGTTCAAATTTACCTGATCAACTCATCATAACTTTATTGGTTTTAGAGAGAGACAAAGGGATAGGGAGAGAAAGAGAAATGTCGATCGGTTGCTTTCTACTGACCCACACCGGCCAGGGCTCTCAACTCATGACTTTTGAATCCTATTTATTCAAGTCAGAAAACTAAAATATAAAATTTTTAAAATGAAAAGGCTCTTTAAAAAAACTTAATAACAGTTATCTCACCTGAAAGTTAACAATAATTCTTTGCTATCTAATTTATTATGACATCCTTATTAATAACCATGTTCAAATCTTCCTAATTATCCCCAAATATTTCATATGTAGTTGGTTTGTTTGAATCAGGATTCAAAGGATTATACGTTGCATTTGGCCGAAGTCTCTTAAGTCTTTTTTTAAGCTTAATGGCTTTTTTCTTGCCATTTATTTGCGGAAGAAACTGGGTCATTCATTTGTTCTGTAGAATTTCCCAAACTGGCTGATGGCACTCCACAATATCATTTAACACGCTTCTCTATCCTCTTGTGTTTCTACCACATGGGACTTAGATCTAGAGGCCTGTTCTGATTCAGGGTCTCTTTTTTGGCAGGTCGGCTTCATAGGTGATGCTGAGTACTCTCTGATTTAGTCTCCTAATAATTAGGGTCTTGGAATATATATATATATATATATGCTGGGCACAGGGAGAAGAAGTGAGAAATAATTTCCTTACGGCTATCTATGATTAAATGAGAGAAATAGAGAAGGAAGCTGAACAAAAGGAAATAAAAAGATGAGGAATTCGACTAGTGCTCCACTTAAGAATTGAAGTCTAACAATATATTCCCATAGGGTCAAATAGTCTGGGAGGTGTGTATATGTGTGTGTGTTTTAAGATTTAATAATACCAAGTTTTAAAAGTGCCTTCAAAACAAGGAGCCTTCAGAAACAAGGTCATGGGGTGGTGAATACATAATACAGCATACAGATGATGTATTATAGAATTGTACACCTGAAATCTATATCATTTTATTAACCATTCACCCCAATAAATTCAATAAAAAGCAAAAACAAATAAGCAAAAAAACCCACAACATCCAGTCATATTTTAAACAGTTGAAAACAATAAAAAGAAGTCATAATGTATTTTTTTATGTATAGGAAAATTTTATTAAGAAAATACACACATCTCATTACAATATGTCAGGAAAGGGAAAAAACAATTCACATGATTATGAAGTGTAAAGACTGATTCCTGAAACCACCTGTAACCAGTTGATCTGGTATAATATACTCTACACAAGGCATTTCCCTTAACTAGCATTCCCATAAGCAATTACAGCAAGACTATCCCATCTCTTTATCTTTAAAAAAAAAGATATATTTTTATTGATTTCAGAGAGAAAGAGAGATGGAGAGAGAGATAGAAACATCAATGATGAGAGAGAATCATTGATTAGCTGCCTCCTGCACAACCCCATTGGGGATTGAGCTGAAACCCAGGCATGTGCCCTGACCAGGAATCGAACCACTCAACCACTGAGCAACACCGGCTGGGCTCTTTATCTTAAACGTAAAGGTGAGAAAGGCTAAGCAGTGACTTTTGCAACTTGTGGTTTCCTTGAAGTCAATAATTAATGCTGGGTATGTTATCAAAAGTAACACAATATCAAGTGCAAAAATGTGGTTTTAATTTCTGTTAATTTTAAAGGTCATTAGATAATAAATCCTTAGGCAAAAATTTTACTTGATCAAATATATAACTAAAATTAGTCTCTTCAGAAACTCAATTCCACACATACATATTACTACTTTCTAATTGTTCTCGCCTTTTAATAAAGGTATATATATATATATATATATATATATATATATATATATATAAAGATATATATATATATATATAAAATATCATTTAAAATAAACCTTACAATTCAAATTCACATTGACATTGGCAGATTCTTGAAACCAATTTGCCCCAAAATGATAGCAGTTAGTGGTTCTGTGAAGATGACCAAATCAAAATATGTGAACTGGCTACTGAGAATCTGTTGCAATTTATTATATTCAAAGCCACATCCTTTATGTTACCATCCAATACCTAAAGTGCTGAGGACTAATGTTTATATTGTATTTGAGTTATAAATGGGAACAAAGTAAAAATCAAATGAACTGGCAAAGCGCATTAAAAGGACCTAAGACTAATGTTATAATAATAGCCTGGCTGCTCAGTCGTTAGTGTTGGCCCTCAGACTGAAGGGTTGTGGGCAGGATGTGTGTGGGAGGCAACTAGACACATCAATGTTTCTCCCTCTCTGTCTCTCCCCCTCCCTTCCACCCTCTTTGAAAATCATTGGGGAAAATATCCTTGGGTGAGGATTAACAATAAAATAGGTGAGGATTGTTATCTGAAATAACAAGTCTTGAAGAAAAGAAATTTAGATTCAGATAATGTCCTCTAGCACAGGGGCCCTTCTTCCCTGAGAGGGGCCAAGGATAAGAGCCTGTGCTCTCCCACTTCCCCCCTCAGAGCCCGGCCTGGAGGCCTTCTCTCTAGAACAGGTGGGGTGACAGAGGTGACTGTGAAGATTAAATAGAATGATGCATGTAGGATACTTAGAACAATGGCTGGCACAAAGTAGGTGTTATTCATAAAATGTATTTTATCATTACCCACTAACTGCATACCTAACATGTTGGTGATATTTCAATGGTTACATAGGAATCAATGATTTGCTAGAATAAACACTTAAAATTAGGAAAGGAAAAAATTTTCTACAACATACTGAAAACTGGGGAATAGATTTCTCCTTAGTCTTAAAACTTTAAAAAGTATGCTGAATGTGGGGGTAACTTCCCAAACAGCTAAGTGGCAAGTAAGTATTTATTTAAAAAAAGCAAGATTAAATAACCATATGGGAAAGTAAAAGGAGAATCCCTTTAAATGGAACCCTCGTAGAGAGCCTTGAGATTTATATTAATGTTCTCAAGTATTAAGTATGCTCAACAAAGATGATTCCATTTTCGTGAATTCAACAGAGCACTAGAGCTGTTCAACTGTATGAAGAAATTATCTTTGAGGGATACTAAATGGGTTTAGGAAAAAAGCTAGAAAAGCATTTGGATGAAGGATTTTCCCCCCCCTAAAGCAAGGCTTTTCATACTTCCTTTGGACTTTCTTAGTTTTCTGAGAGCAGTAAATAATAATGATTATCATTATTCACCCCTTAATAATGATTACACATTGGTATTAATTTGCTAGTAATTCCTTCGCAAAGGAGAATACAGAATCTTATTTCTCCAGATGCTGATAGAGAAAGAAAAGGATAGGGTTAAGTCATAGCATGAGACAACCAAAAATAGAGGAGAAACAAAGATTCATTTGATAGCTAATGTTTTATAAATGAAAACTGGTTGCTGGGTTTTAATAAGTACATTTAAAATCAATAATTTGAAATTAAACAGTATTCAATTATGCATTTTTAGAAAAATCTGTTTAAAAGTTCTATATTAATTTTTGATCTTATAAACATCCTGTAAAAACTATACATAACAGAAATGAATGGAACCAATTATTTGTAAGAATGCAATTTGTTATCTTTTTCATGTGCAGTAATACTCTGAGCACTGAACTCAAAATGCACACCACCCAGGACTCTGGAGCAATGCCATTCAGGCTTTCTCTATACCAGCAGCACGGGCATCACCAGGGAGCTTGTCAGAAGTGCAGAATCTTGGGCCCCACCCCAGGCCCAGGGCATCCGCAGGAGGAAGGGGTCAGCTCTCCAGGAGACTCAGACACCTGCTTTAAGGCAGTGACAGGGAGGACAGGGGAAGTGTGTGTTGAGAATACACCTGCCATGACTCTGCCCAGGGAGTCCAGGGGCCTGGAGTAGGGGACAGAGACCTGGAGGAGGGGACAGAGGCTTCTGCATTTTAAAGAAGCTTCTTTAAGAAGCTTCCCAGAGATTCTGAGGCAACTTTCTGGGTAAGAATCATACTTTAAAAAGGTTTTAACCAAAATCTTTAATACTTTTCCCATTATAGTCAATAAATCTTAACTGCACTATTTACTCAATTTGTTTCACACCACAGATTAGAAAATGCATCACCACTTTTTCCTATTTAATCATATCTACAGAATTTCTTCTTTACTCAAAAGCATTAAAACGACTCTCTGGTCCTGTTTTTCAAAAACAATGACTCCCTTCCTAAGTAAATGTTCCCACATAAATCAAATGTTTCAGCTTATTTTCTAATTTGATGCCATTATGCCACCCCCTCCCACCATGATGAGAGTTTTTGCCTTTATTTTCTTAGCTTTAATATTAAAAATGGTTTCATTACTTTATATCCGATACTTACTAAAAAATACTGGTTGGTAAATAATACATAATGAGAATTAAGTAGCTTTAAAAATATATACTTATAAGATTTCTTATTTAAAAAAGCAATATGCTATTTGGACTTGTTTTTCTTCCTTGAAATACTGATAATTCCCATGAGGCCTGTACTAGACATATTAAGTGAACAACTTAGTCAAATTACTAAGTAAAATTCAGCGTATGTTCTTACCTTCGGCAAGCACAAGTCAGGTTTGTAATATTTATAATGTTAAACTAAAATCAAGATTTCAGAGAATATTTTTGGGAGTGATTGTGTTTTGACAAAGGTAATATGAAAAATATAAACCTTTCATATTTAATTAAAAGTAATAAATTGTGATCTAGTAGCTTATTTTATGAAACAGATTTATGTAACAGACTTCTGACTTTACTCCTCTGTTAAACAAATTAAGTAATTGCATTTCCCCATACTTTAAATGGCAATGCCATTTTGAGCATTCTTAAAATGAAGAATTTACTCAAAATTATTGTGAATTAATCTCTGGCTATAGGTAGAGGGAAATATGAAAATAAATACAAAGCCCTTTTTCTCTATAGAATATTATATTTACCGTATCAAGGACTGTGGAGAGAAATGTCAAATCATGTGCATGCTGATAAGTAGCTATGAATAATTTTTTGTAGTAATATTGTAGAATGAGCATTTAAAAATTTAGTTTTTTCAAAGCAACCGTGTTAGCCACATATATAGCCATACTACTACTTCTTAAAATGATTCTGGATTTTCCTTTAGAACTCTCCAATTTGTAAGCCACAGAAAAAACTGGTCTCACAAGTCAATTATTATCCATTTTACTGGGTTGAAAATAAACTATTAAAAATGGTCTGAACACCTACCTTATTTATCCCACTTAGCTCTAAATTAATTTTTGATGGCTTCAAAAAATTAAATTAATTTTTAATGGAGAAAGAATTGTCACTAATGATATTCAAAGGAATGTCTTGTAGGAATATTCCAAAATTATCTCAAGTAGAGCATCACTATTGGAAGAGGAGTATGACTTCTTCATTGAGGTGTGAAACATCTAATTTGTTAAAAGTCATGATGTTAATAATAATTTATGCAGCCTATACCCCTCTCCTTAGAATCATCTAGAAATTAAGATGATGAAAATGTTTTTCATAATAAGCAAAGCTGAATTTCTATCTGAGCAATAAAATAGCATAATTGAAGCAATTAAATTGAAGTTATTTCCTTTATTAAATAAAAAAGTTACACTATGATTTTTATATACTGTTGAAAACAATGACTTTTTAAATTAAATGTTTTAATGTTGACATTATTACAGGCTCAAAGACTATTTTTTTATTTGTCTAGAAGCAGCAGTAGTTTCCCATTTCTCTCTTACAATGTTATAGTTACGTAAGCCTTAATTTAGTTTTAGGAAATAAATAATAGGGTATATTTTACATATTTCTCTAGCTTTATATACTGGAAAGAAATTTCAGAGCATGAAGAAGAAATAAAAACATTTTAGATAGAATATTTGTCCTTAGAATTTGGTTAAATTTGGCCTTTTCCTCATACTGTGTGCTCATCTCCACAGAAGTCAGTTAGTATATTAGTAGCCCTCAAGAGCTCAGTGAGAAATTATTACCTATTAGAGGCCAGGTGCACGAATTCGTGCACAGGTGGGGTCCCTTGGCCTGGCCGGTGATCAGATTGTAGGAGGTTGGCCAGAGGGAAGAGTCATGGGAGGTTGGCTCTGGGAGTGCACTGACCACCCGGGGGCAGCTTCTGTGTTGAGCATATACCCCTGGTGGTCAGTGCATGGCATAGCAACTGGTTGACTGGTTGTTCAGTCGCTTAGGATTTTATATATATAGAGCATGGTATATAGCAAATACTTGGGCAAGTGTGATCAAGAGCAGAGGTGAAGACATTTAAAAAACATTTTTAACATCTCTTTGATGTTGTATGAGCTACAAATCAGAATGAAAGCATTATGGCTATTTGGTGGCAGGGTGCCAGTGGGCATTAACAATGTAGTCAACACATCTACCCACACAGAAGTGTAGATTCATGGGAAAAATAAGCCTGGCAAAGCAGTGGGGGACAATGAAAACACAGAAAAAAACCCCCATAGATTTGAGAACATTATATTTTTGTCTGGAAAGAGGGGTTCCCTGAAGCACAGAAAGTATTTATTAGTGGGCACTTCTATTCCGATGGCGCGGGAGGGCTTATTCCAGATTCTGGCCATTCATACATATCTGGCAGCATGGATTCATATTCACTTCGCCATATTCTTTCTCTAACATACTGGGCCTTGTTCTCAGGTTCTGGGTATCGAAAAGCCATTTTATTAGCATACAGGTATTCTGTAACCTGAAAAGTAAATAAGAATATATAACAGAAATGACCAGTGAGGAATCTTACTTATAAACAATTTTAAATATCTAGAAAAATAATAAGAGACATGCCACATTTAGGTGAAGAAAACAACAGAATTATATTGAAAGACTTAAACCCAAAAAACCTTGAGTGGAGAGAGATACTAAATGGGGATGAGTTAAAACTGACTCAATTTTACCTATTTAACTTATAAATATGACATAGTTGAATACATAGTTGCAAGGTTCTTTTTTTAAACTCAAAGAACTGATATAAACATTCACCAAAAAGAATAAACAGTTGAGAACAGACAATACTGAAAAACCATAATGACAAAAAATATATAGTATCCAATAATATACTTTATACATAATATAATAATTAAAACAGTGCATAATGATAGATAAATATGATCAGGAACAGATTCCCAGTAACAGATTAAAAATTTTTATGCTAATAAAAGCAGCATTCTCCTAAGTAACTGATTTACTATCTGAAAAGGGATTTACTATCGGGGGAAGGGGGGGAGGAAGAGACTGAACATAAACTGTGCACCTATGGATGAGGACAATTAGGGTGGGGTGGGAACCTGGTGGAGGGGGGAAGAAATGAGGAACCTTTGTAATAATATGAACAATAAAGATTGATTTAAAAAAAATAAAAAATAAAAAAATAAATAAAAGCAGCATTCTCTATCAACTGGTGGCGAAACAACTGGTTACCTACTCAGAAGAAAAAGTTTCTGTGTCTCACAACATACACTAAAATAAACCTATGTGATTAAGAAGTTTTATGTTATTAGAAAACACAGGTAGATATTTATATAATTTTGGAGTAGAAGAAGGCATTAACATTCACAAAAGATGAAAAAAAATCTATAAATTAACATAACTTCATGAAAAAGCTTTTGGAAAATGGTACATAAAACAATTCTAAGTTTAGAATAATTGACAATGGGACAGTACCTGCACCACAGCAAACAGAAGGATTGCTATCCTATCTAATAAAGAGGGGATATGCTAATTGACTGTCACACCCTCACAAAGATGGCGGCACTCACAGCCAATAAGGAGGGAATATACTAATTGACCTCCATGCCCCCAAAGATGGCAGCACCCACAGCCACAAAATGGCAGCTCCCAGTTCCCTCAGCTCTGTCAGAGAGGCAGGCCCATGGCACAGGCAGGCCTGGCCCTGCTGCGCACCTGCCTCTGGAGTCTCCCAGTCCCTCAGTCTCCCAGCTTCTCAGGGCCAGCCCGAGGCACGGCAAGCCTCGGATGGCAGCTGTCTAGCCGATGCCTGAGACACAGGCAAGCCTCAGATGGTGGCTTCCTGGCCGCCCAGGGCCACCCAAGGCTCTGGTAACCAGGGCAGGCTGAGGCTTGCGCTGCCAGCAGTGGCAGCAGCAGAGGTGTAATGGGGGCATCACCTTCCCCCGATTGCCGGGTCACCTCCACCCCTGAGGGTTCTCAGACTGTGAGAGGGGGCAGGCAGGATGAATTTTCATGCAGCGGGCCTCTAGTCCTATATAATAAAGAGCTAATATGCTAATTAGAACAAATAACAGAATGACCATCCAGAAGACCTTCCGGATGAAGCCAGGGCTGGGAGGGCCAGCCAGGGCAGTTGGGACTGCGAGGGCTGAGCCCCTTGCCTGAATTTTGTGCATCCAGCCTCTAGTCCTTAATAAAGAGCTCTCATGAGTCAGATTCAGAAAGTGAAAAGAGCTGCCTGGTGTGGCTCAGTGGTGAGTGTAGACCTAAGAACCAGGAGGTATGATTTCATTCCTGGTCAGAGCATGTGCTTGGGTTTCGGGCTTGAGGTGTGCAGGAGGTAGCCAATCAATGATTCTCTCCCCCTTCCTTCCTCTCTAAATCAATAAAAATATATATTTTTAAAAAGTAGAAAGACATATAACATACAAACAAGCATAGGCCATGAATAGGCATTTCACAAAAAACTATGATTGCTCAATTAAACACAAAATATTCTTCAATCTAATAATAAAATAAGTGCTTTAAATAATAATAAGATAATTTGCATCTATTAAATATATAAGATTTAAATAACAATTCTAAGTATGGACAAAGGTGTGGGAAAACAAATACACTCATATCTAATAGATACTATGTAAATCAGTATTTTTTTCTGAAGAAATATTTGGCAATATGAATCAGTAGTCTTAGCATGTTAACATCATTCATCCTTATAATTAGAAATTTATCTTAAGGAAAAATAATCACAAATGCACATAAAGACTTATTTCTACCAAAATGAAAAACACTTAAATGTCCAAGGAGAAATGGTTGAACTAATTATGACATAATAATAAAGAGAGAATTATTATTGATTTACATGGGAAAAAACTCATGATACATTAAGTGGGAAAAAGTTCAGTGACAACCCAATTATAAAGTTAAGTATTGGTGACTGGGCATGTGTGTGCTTTTGTATGTATGAGTTTGGGAAGAAAAAAGATTAGAAGGCAACAAACCCAAAATAATAATGTGGATTATATTCTGGTAGAATATGGGTGAACTAAAATTTCTTCTTTGTACTCTCTAAATGTTTCAAACTTTTCTCTAATAAACTTGTGTTACTTACATAAGAAAATTCTATTAAAATTTCTGTGAAGAAGTATAAACTATTACTTACTTTAATAGCAATGTTAATGGAAACTTCCTGAATAGTGGAAAAAGGGGGATAAAGTCTCCCTTGAGCTAGCTCTTTATCCGTCAATTGACTTGTCAGTGCCTAAAGAGAAAAACAGAACTTTACGTTTGTTTGTTTAAATAACACAGAATAATAAAGACCTAATGAAACATAGAAAGGGTTGAGGAACAGAAATGCAGATAATATAATTCTATTTCTAGCAGGAATACACTTAAACTACTGCAGAAATTAAAACTGTTCACTACTAAACAATAAAGAAATAACCAGATTTAAAGACTTATTAATATGTCCTACTTAACATACAGAGTTTGGCATAATTACAACAGCTACTATGAAAATAGACATAAATATCTGTATTAATGTGAATTCTTCAAAGCACATACTGCCAAGTTTGGTGTTGCATTATTCCAAATAAATCTGTAATTGTCATTAAAAATTCATAAGGAGTTATATTTTATCTATGCTGTCACAATGTTACTTTCAGAATCATAAAATACAGGTATAGATGTGTTTAAATATGAAAGGATTCATAGCTTACCATCACACATTTGAAAAATCATGCTAAAAATAATTTTATGCAAAAGCAGATGGGCAAATCAAAAGAGCAATGGATGAGTAACTTCCTTTACATTCATAAGGTAGATTTATTTATTTATTTATTTAAATATATTTTATTGATTTTGTACAGAGAGGAAGGGAGAGAGATAGTCAGAATCATCGATGAGAAAGAGTCATCGGTCAGCTGCCTCTTGCACACCCCCTACTGGGGATATGCCCGCAACCAAGATACATGCCCTTGACCGGAATCGAACCCGGGACCTTCCAGTCCCCAAGCCGACGCTCTATCCATTGAGCCAAACCGGTTTCGGCCATAAGGTAGATTTAACCCATTCTCTTTTCTTTCTGCTTTTAATCTTCATAATTCATCCTTTATAAAATAACTAAACAATATTAAAAATAATTACCTTTGCAGCTTCTAGGAAAACATGGTCACTAATATGCCGGGTGTGACAGAGAATAACAGCTAAAGCCACTCCTAGAATACAGTTAAAGTTTACTTAGTAAGGCCACTTTTCAAATTGTGAAAGGAGCCAAATAAATTCCCACATTTAAAGCAAGTGAATAGCAAGCCATTCCCTCTGAATACCCCCCTCCAGAAAAACCCCAAGCAGCCAAGAAAAACACACAGAAATCTGAGACTTACAATCCAATGATCTTTATTAACCACTGCAATTCTTATTTATAGAGAAAATATTTAAAAAACTATCAAATAGCTTTCCCCAATACTGTTTTTATATTTACCAAAATTACAAATGCATACAATTTATTGACACTTGTTACAAAAAAACGCTATTCCCACACACCTCTAACCCTCCATTTCTTGCTCTACAGAGACAACTACTTGCAATTCTTTTAGCTGATTGTTTCAATATTCATTTCTCTCACTCTTAAACAGCTTGCTTATAGTTCTGACTTCTGAGTTTTAAATATCACTGACTCCTTCCTGTGGGAAATAAGTAGTTAGCTTTCTGTCACATTTCCAACCTTTTCTCTTCTTCCCATCATTTGGATTGAATGAACATTTAGTGTCTATCATGACTTCATAAATGCTATTCACAGCTGAGCTATCCATTAACACTATATCATGACTACTTTTCCTCTTCTGTATAACTTTGTTTTCCCTAAAGTTAC